TGGCAGTTTGAATCCACCAAAAGGCACCTCAGAAGTGATCTGATTCCACAAATCAAACTGCCTGGTGAGTCTATTCTGAAGCACATGGACCCTGTAGGAGAGAGTAGAATGCCCCAACACTGTCATCTTTATGATGCCTAACTTCCACATCTTTCTTCCGTGAAACAGCTGGTGGGTTCAAACCACCAGCCTTTCAGTTAGCAGCTAAGTGCTTGACCACTGTGCCACCAGGGATCCTTCCATAAAGGGGACAGACTAGAAAGCCTTCTGGGGGTAGTTCTACTCCTATCACATGGGATTGTTGTGAGTCACAATAGATTTGACAGCATCCAACAACACAAGAAGACTAGCAATTCTACAAGGTCACTAGGAGATTTTAGTCACATACATTTAGATAAGTAGATTTTCATTGAAAAAATGAGCAAACCAGACCCATTGCCATCAAGTCCATGGTGACTCACACCAGCCCTGTGTAGGGTTTCTGAGACTGGACATGTTTACAGGAGCAGAAAGCCTCATCTTTCTTCCTCAGAGCCGCTGGGGAGTTTGAACCTTCGACATTGTGGGTAATAGCCCAGTACCAGGATGCCTTTTAATGAAAGAGTGGGTCAAATTAAAGAAAACAGTTAACAGTTAATACTAATATTTTTGAAATGTACTTATCACTATGAGCCAGAACCAACTTCACGACACATAACCACCACCACCACCACCACAGAAATTAAATATATTTAAATCTTTTGAAACACACACCTTTAAAAATAAAAATGTGTGAGAATGTGTATATATATATATCAAGTTAGTTCTGAACCCTAGCAACCCTGTATAGGGGTTTCCAAGGAGTAGAGTACCTGGTGTGTTTGAACTATTGACCTTGTGGTCTAGTATAGTATCCTGCAGCATACTTAGATATGTAAAAAGAGAGAGAGGGGAGAGAGAAAGAGTCAGTCAGTAAGTAAGTTAGTCCTGGCGTGGTGCTGTAATATAATGCTCTGGACTGCAAAGTTGATTTGAACCACAAGGCACAAGTTTGGTGGTTCAGACTCATGAGCCACTCCATAGAAACCCTATACAAGGTTGGTATGAGTCAAACCAATATATATATTGCATATGTATATGT